AATCTGTGAACGTATCTACGTCCTTCAACTTATGCGAATCAATGAAATACTGAGTAATGAACGACTTCCTTCTTGAGAAAGAAAGCTTCTTACATTTACTCAGATTTAGTTTCAGAAGATTCACAGAGCGCCATGCAACAAAATTATCCAAGTCACCTTGAAGCTGATGTGATTGCGATTCAACAGAGATAGAAGAAAACAGTTTCACATCATCAGCATACATTAAGATCTGGCTGGAATTAACCACCGATGGGAGATCGTTAATGTATAAACTAAATAAAATGGTACCTAAGTGACTTCCTTGAGGTACGCCAGACATAACGGGGAATTCGTCCGAGGTGATGAAGTTAAACAAAACCACGAAGGATCTATTGTGCGGATAAGAGCTTATCCATTTCACTAAGTAGAAAGGGTATCCAGAGGCTTGGAGTTTAAAGATCAAATGCTTTGCTTAGATAAGTGTAAATAACATCTGTGCGAGAGCCACTAGAAAAAGCCTTGAAAACTTGACAGGTAAACTCTAACAAGTTGGTGACTGTAGATCGCCCTTTCCGAAAGCCGTGCTGGTGCGGAGAAATATACGAATTAATGGCAAAGGCCAGATGCTGAGTCACAATATGCTCGAACAACTTGGGCAAGACACTCAACTTGGCTATGCCTCTGTAGTTCTCAACAAATTACCTACTTCCACTTTTGTGGATAGCAATAAGGAAACTACTCTTCCAACATGAAGGAAAAACACCTGAATACAAGGACATGTTAAAAATCTTTGAGATCACACCACATAAATCGACAGCGCAAGATTTAAGTACACCTGATGGAATTACATCAACCCTTTAAAAACGTCATCTTCCGAAATAACCAAGTTAGATATTGAAACCGAATTAGTGATAGGATATGGATAGTTTGCTGATAAATCGAAATTGGCAATCGAAAAGTTTCGTCGGAAATACTCAGCAAACAGATTTGAGATTTATGAAGATAAAATGAGACTATTGTGTATTATATACCACCTTATTATATATCACCTCCCGAGATTTTATAGGCATAGGTAGAAGACAATAGATTTAAGAATTAGACATGTGGGCGACGTAGCCGATGTGCAGTCAAAGGTCACTATAAGATTTACTCGTCACTGAATATTTTTCATTTCATCTGAAAGAACAATAAACATTTTCTATTATATATTCGTTCCCGTACGGTATTGTATCGCATTTATGTATTTTGAGCGTACGTAAATTCGCTTTCTATGCATACAGTTATGTCGAATACTGGATGCAATTCGTTCGCAATCTACGTATTATCTGCCGTTGATTAGTATAAACTATTTGTGACAGGTTCTCATTGGGAATTCATAGAAAAACAAAACAGAGAACAAGAACTAATTTTTATGCATATGAGAATGCAAACATGTGCATTAGACAGATTCAACGCGATGAGGAGCTGGTAACTTGGTATATACTTGAGTTTGGTCAGTAGTGGTGTATTGTACATATACATAATATATGTATACATATATATGTAAGCATATACGAATATATTTATATTGAATCTTTAATAGCTTTGCTTGACGCATCTATCTAATAATTGTTTTATGGAATAAGGTAGATTATGTAGCATACTGAGCATTACTGTCTAGTATTACACTTTCACAACAACATAACTTAAACATGATATGAATTTAAATTCATAAACATTGTTGGCTGATGTTTATTGATTATTCATTGCGTACCCAATCGACTTTGTTGGCTGATGTTTATTGATTATTCATTGCGTACCCAATCGAGCAAGCATATGTCATGTGCTCCTTAAAAGGGATTATATTCTCTTGAAATTGAAACTGTTCACATCTACCACCGTGGTTTATTCTTTGCTGCATTTTTAAATAAAATCAAATTCAAGAAGAAATTAAAAATTTTGTATGAAAACTGTATGAAAGATAGCTTGATCGACGTAATACCGTCATATAATCTAAACTTACATAGGAAATGTGGACGACATTAGACGTAATAATGTTTTGAGGAATTCCTTAGGCAAGTAATCGCAAACTGGCGATATTTGTTGGAAAGCACAGCATTCTAGCGTTTCACGCGGACGCCAACAAGATATGTTTAATTTCGCGGTGATCGATGGTAGATAGTGTAAGCGGGGAATATTAACTGTCGTGCTTCCCGATTGTCAAATTGTGTTAAAGTCGATCATGTTCGAAGCTTGGCCAGGCAATCCCAATATAAATAACTTCCGAATGCATGACATTATTGCATTAACAGACATTTATTGACTTTTAAACAAATGGGATCTTACATGAAGCACTTCTTCAAACCTCACCAGATTGTAGTCACGTATATGTTAATTTAAATATTAATTGCAACTAAAAGCAAAAGCTATTATTACATTTGTTTTTATACCTTGGGAAAGACAAAAACAAATTTCAATTTTCCCCACTTTCTCTTCGCCACTACTTTTACCAGATGCCACTTATATCCCATAAAGGACAAGGAAAAGCAAACGGGCAATTTAATATCTTTCTGGCAAATATGTTGGAAAAATTAATTAGTACCTTGTCCGAAAACTAGAGATAACGTAACTCGAGCCAATGTAAAACTTACAGCCCTTGCCTATACCGAAACATTCAAATTTCAACTCATTTCATATCATATTCCATTACATATTTTCCTACGCAGACATTAATTTTGTATTTGTTATTTTATATAATATTTTCACCTGGTGTTACTGATGCTCAACGCTTAGGCAAACTATAGCAAAGTCACCCAGAGTCCATGGTGAAATAATAAAATGCATCAAAATTAAACATATAACGAGGATAAATACAGATAAACAAATGAAAATCATGGAATAAAGGTAACTTTGTATACAGACTTTTGGCTTAATGTGCAAACAGATGATGAATATTGAGGGTTGGCCATATTGTAAATGTAGTTTTTTTAGTTGCTTATTTTATTTCGTTTGCGACACGAACAGGTGCAGAAAAAATTGTTACAAGTTGCGTATATGGATATACGTGTAAACATTCGCGATGAGTTTTAGACCTCGAATCTGAATATAAACATCTCCCTTTCCATGTTCGGTGTTAGTAGTCCTTAGATCACACGGCCTAATATGTCCAAGATGTGGTGCGCATATCTCTAATTAGATTATGGAAAGTGCCGCATTGACTACTTTTTCACAAAGACGCACAAAAATCTTTTGAAATTCAACAAAACTGTTAGGGCTTTAGTAACTCTTTAATATTCATAACAGACTCCACGGTTTTCATCATTGATCTTGCGTCTGCAATTTTTATTGAATCCAAGAATTAACGATCTGACATTCACTCAGCATCTGCAGACAATAATCGATTGACATGTCATTGTGAGCTCTTATTCTTTTGTTTACTATTTGCCTTTTGTGTCATTTGCTGTTACGAAAACTATTACTGTTGACTCAGTATCTACCGACATGGATAAATTGCTCACATGTTTAGTCAGGGGGCACAAGCGCAGTTTCAAAACAATAGGATTTTTGACAATTTTTTTTGGATGAAAAGAACGATAAAATCGAATAATAAGTTAGGAGGGGTTGTTAATCTTACTTTGAAGTACTAGAAAAAAAATTATTTTTGAAAAATTTACAAAAAGTGGCAACACAGAAGATTTTCTTGGTTGCAGCATTATCAGTTTAAGGGACTCTGTGACTTGGGCCTAAATTGGCGCTAAGGTGACTGAAAGAAAAAGTCATTTAATCTGAGTGTCTTTAGCGAGATTTTTGTGCGATGGATAAGTGTGGGAGAAAAACAATTCAATTTTTGCCCAAGAAGAAAGACGCACTTTTGTTATTATTAAAAAAGGAATAAAAGTGCTGGAGTGGACCATGGCTTATGACTACGCCACTTCCCTTACTAAAGTTTTTCATATAACGACTTCTCAAAAAAAAGTACTAAACAGCACGTGCAGATTTGCAGCATGGGTTTAACGTGGGTTCCTGCCATGATGGCTTAACCCCACGGTTAAGCGTCCCCTGGCGAGTTAGACAATCCCACAGAGTAGCAGCCTAACCAGCACCAGAGTCCAGAACAGTTTATTGCGTAAAAAAAAGCACGTGCACGAAGAAGCGACGAACCATATTTGGTAGCGTTCGTGTATGGACCCAAAGATGTCAATGCATGAAATTTCATCAAAGCGAATGCTAGCCAAGTAATTAAATTTTAGTGCATGAAAAATATCATACTTGCAGTAAACTAATTTTAGCTCAAGTTAGTTACAGTAGAGCGGTGATATGTTACTTACATTTATGCTGTACGTGAGTATGTTCATCAAGTAAAGGCTTAATCTGGTAACAAAACGCAATGTGTTATTCGAAGAAAATTTCATTTACTTAAGTACTTTCGCGTGCACTTGTGCATAAATTCACTCATATATTCACACGTTTATTTATTCTCGTTGTCGAGTGTTGACGCAAGTTTTTATGACACATTTTCTTTTCTTTGTCTTTCGTCTTAAGTAAAAAGTTTTATTGTAACAATTTTTTCCCTCTCTCTCTCTCTCTCTTTCTCTCTTTCTGTCAAAAGTACGGCTTTGCTTACATTTAAATAATTTTTTACTATATTGTTCATACGCCCGAAAGCGCACCTCATGCGCTGATACAGGCGCAAGAGAAAGAAACAAAGGTTTCTTGTCGGGATTTTAATCTGATGGATGCCTCTTGTTCCGGGTGGACTAGCAAATACTGATGTTGATAAAATCACGATATAAGTCAATTTCGAGCTGTCCCTCTTTCTCTCTCTTTCGCTATCTCTCTCTCTTAAAAGGGGAAACGTAATCAATTTTTTCAAGGCTTCGGCAGAACCTTGGGATTATCAGAAGCTCCAGTTTTGCTGGTAATTTTTGTGCTATAGTTATGGAATTACACCGCAGATCGATTAATATCCACTAACAGTATAATTCTCCAGAAAATGTTTCCCATTGCTCTGAAATATTTCATTTTGTATTTTTTCATTGAAGATCTTTAAGATGCGCTCGCATTACTCTTCACATGAATCTTTTTATATCATTTGCGGCCAACAATTCATTGTGGTTGTTATGGTATTTGGTTGTGATGCCTGATGCTGCGCTACTACACGACAATCCGGTATGTATATATATATGAACAGATAATATTTGACAAAAATTTCGATTATGTTGTCTACACTTTTTAACGAAATGACCGTTACATGTATATATAAATAATTTTTTTATTTTTTATTATTGCCGCTCTCACCCCTATTCCTCTGATTTAGCCGTCTTGCAGAGCTTTACATATAGTGTTGCATTATTTCCTACTCACAAACTATTCATGGATGTTATGCGAAGGTTTCTATTTACACACTGTCCTGGTGGCTGCTTTTATTTCCGAAAAGAAATTGGTTAAGTGGCTTATTGCTTTCGGTTGGGGCGCACCGGCTATTGTCATACTTGTGTACGCTTTGGCTCGTGGTTTAGCCGGAACTATCAATGATACTATGCAGTAAGTTAAGTTGAATTTTAAGTTAAGTATGTGAGTTTTTACATTTATTTCTTATATTAAGTGGGCGAAAATTTATCTAAATCATATCACATTAACAATAACCTAACATTCCGTTACCTTCGGTGATTCGGTGTGAGTTCATGTTTTGGTGATTAGAATACAAAATTATGTCTGTTAAGCAGAATATGAACTCGAAGTGCCAAGAGAAATAGTCAGGGGTTTCGATTTTGGATAGAGAAAAAAAACATTTCACTACGGCTGATTTTCTCGCTATTTCCAATGACTATGTTCATCCAAGATGAGAATACAATTGAAACATGTGAGAAGTAGCTTTCAGAACTTGCCTGGAGGGCTCGAGTACATATAGGGAAGAGCTGAGACGTTCAACGGTGGCGAATATGCGTTCAGCATCCTGAACTTTCCTTAGCATCGTCACAATTCGCCGCACCTGTACGCGGGATTTCCCAAACGTCACCTACATGCAGTCACGCACGTACGCCAAACAGCTCAGGCATTAAAGGTTAACGAAGGCTTATCTATAATAATCCGCACTCTCGGGCATTGACACAACGTGGGCTTTGGCTCTCTTATGTGTAAATACCTTCACGGCAAGTGCTCTTCAGAGTTCAAAGATATGTGTTCGCTAATCAAGAAACTAGACTATTAGAAATACGCGGGGTTCTCATTCATCTGACCTGGGTTTGCCGTGTGCCCAAGCAAATACTCTCACGTTACCGGTACATCGCACTAAACACTGCCGCGGCCAGCAGTACGATTTTAGTAGCCCGTCCTGCTATTCCAGATGTTCACTTTTCAAGTCGAATATACATAAAAACTGAACCCTCCGCCCTCCCTCCTCCATTATCATTATCTATCCTAATCGCGACCGTGCCTACACACATAGGGGACATGGCTGAGTGCCTGATCTAACATTAAAAATATAAAAACTAATCAACATAATTACATTCTTTTAAACAATTATAACTTATTATTATTATTCTTTTAATTGCAGTTGTTGGATGAATCCTGCAAATTTCGACAATATCTTGGTTGTACCTGTTTGCATTTTTATGTTTTTAAACTTAATATTCTTGTGCAATATTGTGCGCGTAGTTTTGCTGAAATTGAATGCGCCAGTCAGCCTACAAGGTAGCTGTGGGCCTTCTCGTACGGTGCTGCAAGCGTTTCGGTTTGTACTGTTGCTGTTTTCTGCTTATGTACCTTTAAGTGGCTTTAAACTTTTCGTACCCACCACCGAGTTACAAGAACATACTTGATTCAATGTTGTAGTTGGAACCCCTAGAAATAAACCTTAAGAAAATTTACATTCTAGTAATCTTCCTTACATTAAGTATATAAATAATCGCCAGCGTATGTATGTATGCACGTATATAGAGGTGTTGGCCGATGACTTGCCAACACCAAACACAGTGTCGTGCGCCGAACCAAAGGGAGTGGCACTATTCATAAGCATTGCAAAGGTGAAGAACTTTAAAGTTGGGTTGTCCATATAATGCTGCAATACAAGACAATCTATGTTCCTAATTTATTTTTGATCTCGGAAAGTTAAGACAACCTACGTCGATTGGTCTTCCTGTCTGTCTTGCCATTCTTTTCTCCTCAGATCTTTTAACCGTTATATTTCGCTACAGTTTTGTTGTTAAACCCTTTGTCCGTTTACCCGTCCGATATCCCCAAAATTCCTATAAAAACAATAATCCAGCACATACGGTCATTTTTCAAAATCGAAAATACCGTAACCCTGCTTCACAAAGATCAGAAATGCGAATTGAGTGAAGCTTTCAAAAATTTTGCCTTCTTCATTCTAGCCAATAACTTCCTACTTATAGTACACAGGCCACCGTAAACTTATCAGTGTCATCGATGTAATACAATGAATGATACGAACACCAATCTTAATGCTCAAGCTTGGGGTGGTGGGTATCCAACGATTGTTTTAAGACGAGCATAATTTGCTCCTTAAATTAAAAAAGACTTTAATTTTTCAGTGCAACGTTACTACTCGTTCCTTTATTGGGCTTGCAATACATATTAATACCATTTCGCCCTCATCCTGGACATTCATGGGAGCATACGTATGAGGTTATATCAGCATTTGTAGCCTCTTTTCAGGTAAAGTTATGTACATATATAGATTTTTTCATATTATATATTCACTACAGAACGTGCAAACACCGGCAGGTTGGCGAGTTTTAATATAGGTTTCCTCTTTTTTTCCTTTTTGCCTACATTTTGCAACAACTCATTGATAGATTGCTGTCAGAATATTTTCGTTTGAAAAGATATCAAATATGCATACCCCAAGCCCAAAATATTTTTGTTATACTGTATGTCTATCATCATAGTGCTTGAAATTCTGTATTCATTATATAAAGCTTAGCCTTGCGATTCATTCATGGCACTATATGAAAAAAGCAAAATATTACCGTTAAGTTAAATAAATGTTTACGAAGCTAGAGAATGTTTGCTGGAGTGTGTGTGTGTGTGTGTACACATATTTTATAATCAGAAAATTAAAAGAAAAAAAGAGAAAACGCGTTTTGTATGCAGTTCGCCGAATAGTTAAAAAGTTGTTTTATAAAAAGTAAACCAAGCAAAAAAATCTTTTCCCCTTAAAGTATTCTTTGAAATTTTCAAAAATATTTGAAAAATTCATCTGATTCCCAACCGACGTAGCTAACGAAGAATTTCTTTTCTGAATGCTTAAGTTTATACGTTACTTTCCATTACGCATCGCTACGAAGTCTTGCTCTGGTCTTCTATTACTCAGCAAATTCATGTTCTTCCTTAATAGTTTCATAGCTTTAAAAATAGAAGTCATCGCATTGAAGAGAAAAAACTTGCGACAAATACATTTACGTACCTGCAAATTTCTCAGTCGCTATTTTTATAATATATTCTGCGTTAGATGGAGATTATTTAGCTGCCAAGATAAATATAAATCTCGTTACAACAATGAACACCATTAAAGTACAAATTTGCAGAAAGAAAAGGATTAACAGTTACTTCGTATTTATTAAATATATATGAAATTAAAAAAAAGAAAGTAAAGAAATAAAATAATTATTTTTGCAATGGCCGAATCTTTCATATCCTTCATATTTATCTTAAGCAGAACAAACAAATAAAAGCTAAATTTCAATGCTCTATAATATTGGGCGCGCTTGGTAGAGTTTTGCCATCTTTATGCGTATAGTGTAACATTTCCGAGCTGGAAATTTTTTTATCTTATGATTAATAAGGAAAAAAATCCAATCGTTGTTTTTCTGCATAATGAGGTGCTCTCAGTTTATGTTGTACTGTAAAGCTTTCTTCTACCTCATACTTTCCCTGGTTTGGCCCATTTTCAAAATCAAAATTAAGCACGTGGAGGAACTTCTAAACTTTCCAGTCAATTTCGATGCCGATACGCAGGGCCAAAATGTAAACATGTAATGAAGTCCATTATTCCCAACAAGTGAATTTGGAGTCGCTAACACTAATCCCATCAAGTCATAGCATAAAGCGGGCAAAAGATGACAACCTACAGATAATTTAAAAATAATTACCACTTGCAAATGAGTCCAAATTCCCTGAAATCCCGGAAGTTTCACAATGATGCCTGTAGTCGTTTTACTAGCAGTTATTCAATTAAAATATTACAAAGTACGTGGCCTTCTTTAACGGCGAATAGCGCAATGCATCCTGCCACTCATTTGTTGGAGTTGAAATTTCCAGCGGAATTTTGAAAGATGGGTTGTGAAAACTCTTGTCTCTTTTACAATTTTAAGATCAATTTTCAAAGATTTGTGACTGGCTTTCTAGCTTACTATTATCTATGCCTACGTATATTATATTGAGTGCTCTTAAGCGATAATAGCTAACAATTCCACTTAAACTAGAAAAATTCTTTTCTTGGGTCTATTAGAATTTCCAATGTAAATATTCTAGACGATTTTCTACTGAGAAATTTAGTAGTAGAGACCTAATACACAGATACAAATTTCCTATAGCAAAACTTTATTTTCTATTTAAGTGGAATGTTTTCGTTCCATCTTTGTTTTTATATTTTATCGAAAATTTTTTCTCTTTCAGGGATTATGTGTCGCGACATTCTTTTGTTTCTTTAATAGTGAGGTTATAGCTCAGGTGAAACGTAAATGGCGTACGATGTGCTTCAGCAACCGCCCTAGAGCCAATTCTTATACTGCTACTCAGGTCTCGGTAAGATTTTTTTAATTTAATATCTTTAAGCAGAAATGTATACCGTTACGTCGCTGTGCTAACATAGTTTAAATTTTGAAATATTTATTTCACATTAAGAAGTAAGAAATCCTACTCTCTTTAACCCAGATCTTAGATGCTAATCTCGTTAAAAAATGTCGAATCTTGTGACTAAGTGTGACCGCGCGAATAAGCCTACTAGAACTATTTCTCGATTAAACTTTCATTTAAGTTCAATAACCATCTTTAGCAATATTCAGATCGGGGGATCGGAAAAATGATATTTTAAAAAACATTTCGTTTATTTAAACTGTTCTCGGTTTGTATGTGGCAAGGTTCATTTTTCCGCATCATTTTTGCGTTATTTGAATTTTGCTAATAGATGAAGGGAAATCAGAAAGTTGACGATTGAGTACGCGGATAAATGGATAGGCTGTCTGATGGACAGCTTGAGCGGTGGCGGTAGAAATCCATTCCGTACACTATCTTTTGCCTAAAACTTATATATTCTTTGAAATTTCCGATACATACATCTACACGCTAAGCCCACTGGAAGGAATCATTTGCTGCTCATTCACATTGCACCACTCATGGTACAAGAGTATCTTAAGTTGTGTATGTAATTGAAGAACGACTTGAAATGAGCCCACCTTCCATTATGTCAGTCGATTCATTCTTTGAATCACATTCTGAAACGATCTAAGCTTCTTTGTCCGCCTGTCTATCTTGTTTTCTTTTGTTCAACCATCGCAATTTTTGATATGTTTTGATGAAATTTGATGCACCGAAATGGTTTGGCGCAAGGACAAGCGTCATTTTAAATGGTTTTGGTCGGACTACTTTTTCGACCACTTCCGAACGACACCTTATTTTAAAAAGCTGTCATATGAATGACCGTATGAAGCGAAGCGCTATAGGATATTTTATGGCGGGCCGTGCCCCATTATGGTATCTTTATTTGTTTTATAATTGAGTATCTTCAAGCGAAAGCAAGGAGAAAAATAGATTGTTTGACAGCATTACATACATACATTGTTTTGAATACACGAAATATTACGGAAGACGGTTATATGTCAGCTTACCACCCCTTAATTATTTTCGTTTCGGTATGCATTTCTAACTTCCATCCGACTTGTCTCTTTTAAAATATTTCATTTGATCACTATCCTCACATATTTGCACGTACTTTCAAAAACGCTTAATTCTTCGTACATCAAACCGTCCTCTTCTTTCATTGATTTCATTAAGTTGTTATCAGTTAGCAAGGAGTTTATTAGCAGGAAGAAAGCAGGACCCGTTACACCAGTTATTTACTTTAAAGCCAAGCAAATAAAACTTCACCATTAATCTAGAGGAAGATAAACGCAAGTACGCGGATGCGGTAAATCATTTATATTAGCAAGAAGTTTATTTTCATTAATACATCTTACGAGTATTTGGGTATTTTCGCTACGATAGTCGCATCAAAGAGAAGACAAAAATATATATCTCTATGAAATTTGATACTCTACGAGTGAGTTGTGTGCTTTAGAACATGATTCATTTCTTTTAAAACTTTAATGGTGTATTAAAACGGACAAATGTTTCTTTTTTTTAATGTTTTTTTTTCTTTTCTTAGATGCGTTGATTGACTTCTTTAAAGTTTTCGCCTTTAATTGTGCTTTTAATCGAAGTTTTACTTCAAACAGGTGAGAACGAAAAAGCTTTGGTCTTTTGGCGCGAAAGCCACAAATGTAATCAACAAATACCAACTGCACTAGTAGTAAGGCTTTATGGCATTGTTCAATGCCTTAACAGTTCTAAGCTAATCAGATGCACAGTCATACCTCTGGCCGTAACTTGCGTTCATTAACGTTTCATGCATGTTAATATTCCTCAGGCTTTACTTACTCGACTTTTCATTATTAGTTTTAAATTGCTTTCTAATTTGTTTTAATTGCTTTTTTATCCAACTCCCTCTGTTGGCAAAAAGAAAAAAAAATTATAAATTCTTTACTTTTTCTCCCACAACACACTCGTGGATTATGTATGACGACACTCTTTTAGTTATTATGATTATAGTTTGTACGATGCGGTTCGGCGTGTGAAGAGAAAGTATGACTAAAGGATTTATCGGTGGCATCCATACGTAAAACTTCTAGTGCGGTTAGCCATCATCATCATCACTGGCATCATCGCCAACATAGTATGACAACGACCACAAAAACACGTTCACGGAGCAGCGTTGGATTTTACCAACAACAACAACAACATCAAGAACAACAACAAAATCAAACTGCATTTAGTAGTATTTGGAATTGTTTAAGGAGTATGCAATTATTTCGACGCCACACCGCAGACAGAAGTCACATAAGTGAACCATTAATGGATGAGATTGTAACGCTGTCAACAACATCAGCAAAAACTTTAGAAAGGAACGATACCACATCGACAGCAATAGTTGCAGCAGCATCAGCAACGACTGCGCAATCAGCGATCCCAATGCCAGAAAATAGCTCGATTAACGGCAGCGGGAATAACTTGCATATAAATTCATTGACAACAACAGCTTTAATAAATACGCATAGAGAAGATGACAATTCAGCCGACAAAGATGAAAATAATCAAAATCAATAGGGGAGCATCCAGTAATCAGTACCTTAACAAACCACCAAAAACACGCTGTTACAAACCCCTTGCATAATTTCAAGTAACACTTACACCTACGAAAACATATTTGCTGGCAAAATTAAAACTGTTCTCATATTTGCTCTCATAATGAAAAATAAATTAAATTTTTTTTAAGCTGAAAAGTGTTGAAATTTTTTTTTTTTGATTGTTGAGTTTCTTTATTTAATTAATAATCATAAAATATTGCTCAGTTGCGGTTTTTTTGTTTTTGTATTTGAATTTTACTTTATGTTGAAATCATTTTTCTAGTAATTTTCCCCATTAGTTTGCTGGTATGGTTGACATAGTTAAATTAAAACAAACATATTCTCAACGAGTTTTATATATGCTAAGGCCCCCACACACACACACACGCACACACACACACGCATATCGCTGCACATACACTTTAATAAATGTATATATGTATAGGTGTATAATTTTCATTAGAGGTTAATTCATGCAAACTTAATTAAAATGTAACGAATAGCAAGTAAACAATTGCACTCGTCTAAGGGCGAATCGTTCACCTTAACTAAGGAACATGTTTGTATAAAAAGCAACTATTTTTCATTATACCCATCACTGAAGCTTATTAATTTTGACGAAAATCTTCAGAGACTCAAAAAAATATGAAATCGGTTCGAGCATGTGAGTCTGTTTGCTACTATCGACTTCGAATTTGGCAGAAACATTGGAAGCTCTTGCAGGCAACTTGGCAAGTGTATAGTATCTGTTTAAACATTTTCCGGTTCGCAAAAATAAGGATATCGCCTTCTACTTAAACCCGACAAACGACACAGGCTTACAACGCCCTTACCCTTATGAAACAAAACAGTGAAAATCTTTGCTTTCTCTCTCCCTCTTTCATCTTAAGTCTTACAGAATATTGCCCATATCCACACGGGCTCCTTTACAACAAATAGCATTTGTTGTCACCAGTTGACTTCTGTTTCTAAGTGTTGAGTGTCCAACCAAGAAAAACACATTTCAATACATGCTCAATCTGTGGTGTACGTGTGGCATTATGAATTAATAAAATATAAAAATGTAAATTAATATATATAGTGATAATAATAAATTTTCATCTCTTGAAAAAATGAAATTCTTTAGCAAATTATGCTGTTTGTTGTTTTTTATTCTTCTTTAATTATTATTTTTACTTATTTTAGAATGGTATTGTTTATACTATAAAGATGAAAAAATTATACCAAACAGAAAAGCACACAAGAAACGGAATAAGTACCGCAATAACTGTAGCAATAATCATAAATATGTAATTTAATGAATAAAATAAATGTCGAAAATTTATGAAATTTTGTTTGATTTAATTGTTTATTACGAATTCCACCAAGATAAACCGCATTTTTTACTGATGTGAAGTTAGCCCACTGCACCCTTTAGCAAAGACAAAAGTTTGGGCTATGTTTACACTTGGTTCGGTTCTCTGTTAAGGAGATTGATAATTGAACACTACAAACTGATTGGAAAAACTAAACAGAAATAGAAATACAAGCGTAAATAAAATAAGAACAACAACAACAACGTGCATATAACTTTTTAAGCAAGTGCATGGACAAACGCGGTACTATTGCCAACATGTGCCCTGTGTAAATTTAAACATACATCTTCAATAAAGACAGAAACATTATGTGTAGAAAATCGGACATTTAATTAGCAACAAACACAAAAACAATATATAGAAAAGATCGAACATTTTATTAGCAACTTTCATTTGCAACATTATTGCAACATTTTTAGCCTTTATGGTCTTGTGAATATGGAGAGGGTAGGTTTTCGGCGAAGTAAAAAATTAAGTTTTTGTGATAGATTTTAGCTTTTTTTAAACCATATCAAAAATCTGCGCTAGGGAAAATTCATTAAAATTTTTTATACCCACTTAATGTATTGTAGCTTTTCGCCAATTGCACTATATGGTAAAAAAACCCTAGAGAAATTTTTTTTTTAATTTCGTATAACATTTCTGTATAATTTCTTATTTTATTTATACTTGTATTTCTATTTTTTTTAGTGTTTCTAGTCATTTTGTAGCGTTCAATTATCAATTACCTTAGAAGAGACGTGAACCAAGTGATAAGAAGATAACCCACATATTTCTCTTTGCTTAAATCTGTGTTAGGTACATTGGACTAAATTCACATCAGTTACTATGAACGGTTAAATGCAAGTATAAAAAATTTCATAAATTATATTCTCTTAAAAAATAAACCTACAAGTGCATGTTTATGATTACTGATCTATCTACTCCTCTCTCTTCCCGCTGCTCTACGTTATGCGGATGACTTATTAAAATTGTTTAGTTTTAAATAAATAATCTGGTTAATGTAGTAAAGTTTTCGAAAACGAAAATAAAAATAATACAAAAACAATGCAATTAGGTTCGATGATGACGCTAAACCATTTGTTATGAATATGCCAATCAATGTTTACATATTGAAAATAGTTGACATCAGTAATTGTCGTTCTTCTTAACTTCGCTGTACTTACCATTAAGCATACGACACGAGAAACTAAGAAAACCATACTTGTCTTGAATCCAATTCTAGACTTTGCCAAATGTACTTTAACATGGGCTTTCCGTCCGACCATTGAAACATGAATATTCTCAAATAACTGACCCAACGTGGAATCACTTTAGAAAGATTCCTCGCTAAGAACTGTGGAAGCGGATGAGAAGAATCTAATTAAAAAATCAAGAGAATAAAAACCCCTACCATCACAACAAGAGAAATTTAATAATCGTTTCTCGCAGAAAGACATGAAGTTATTTATAAATACTTCACTTAATGGCTTAACTACTGATTTCTTTGCCAAATTATTGCACTCATGCTTTATGTTCAAACTCAAGTGGCATCAAATATATTAATTGCTAGCATGTGTTTCGATCAGTGATATCTACTGGCGAAAATGATAAGTTAACGCGAGTTAACTGAGTACTAATGTACACAACGGTTAAATTCAATGATTTTGACCTTTGTCTACACACAGTAACGGTTTTCCCGTTAGTATTATTTAGTTATTCAGTGTGCACAACACTATGTACAGATGCGACATTCATTACTTTTGGTGTTTGATTTGAAGAAGTTTGCTGCCCATCAGACACCTTTAGAAGCTTATGATGATGCTACTCTATGATAGCCCAATCGCCCGTTTTGGTTTCATCGGTTTATGGTAATGGTGATTTTTATGTCACAGACAAAGAACGGCCTGAAATAGCAAAAAAGCCCGAAGATAATTAATTGCAAAACTTATTAGACGGAAACCCCTTTCAAAGTCTCCAAGAACTTTTGAAGAGTTTCGCTGTTGGCGAGTCAAGACGTTTCCAGACGTTTACAAGCAATGGGAAAGATCAAAATATTTTAGCGAAATCTTAGAAATAGAAATTCTGTTTGGAAAGGACACTGGTGGCCATTAAGTCTATCCCTGCATTAGATCGGAAAAAATTTTCTTCTTTAAAGTTGAAAGTTAAAGGATGTTATATTATATGGGGGAAAACGCTACGAACTTTTTATTGAAATTCATCCAATTGCAAAATAAATTTAATACATACATTTACACCTTCAAGTATATTTCATGTTTATAATGGTAGGCTCTTTTTTATGTTCTCTATGCCGACATAAATGACCCAATTATGCATATTTTTCCGCTTTTCATGTGCGGTTCGTACAAACCATAATACTGGTCTGTGTGAAAACGTTAACCTATCATTCGTAGTTATGGAAAGAAACTCTAACGTACATTTCGTCCTAAAACCAATGCAAAAACTTTTCGGTAGAATGCTTCTATTATTATTTGAGGGGCCACTTCGAATTGAATTGAACACTTTTTCAATATGATCTATATACTTATTTCGTTAAAGGATTTTAACTTTGTTTTCTTTTAAAAGTATTTGCAAATATAAATATTTGCGTTATTAGCGAAACTATTAAAAGGCAAACGAAATAAAATATGAATGAAATCAAATATTACTAATGGCGGATGGATGTAATATGTCGATCAATAATTACGCGGACTATCACATGGAGCCAGTTTCTTTAACAAAAAAAAAAAAAAAACCATGTAACTTTCATAAAGTGACAACGCTTATTAACATTTGAACATTTGAAGGCATTTGGTTTGCAAGTTACAGTGTTTCTAGTGAAGGTGTTATTTTCAAAAGAATGGAAAAGATCCGGATTTCTTGCGTTGAGTAAGCAACACTTTATAGCGGGAATAGTGCTTTGTATGCATTAGATAGGCGTAAAAGCATTACCTTTCAAAACCACTACTACATCCCTTCGCTATCGAAAACGAAAATTTACTAGTTGCTGATTTTAAACGAAACCTCTCGCTTGCCGATTCCAATTGTGCAAAAGGCCGAAAATTATCCTCCCTGATCGAAAAGGACAGTTATAGGACGTAGCGTACATCCTTAAAGTGTCGAAAGGAAGCGTATCCCTGTTGCTGCGTGAAAACAAATACGCCTGAGAAAGCTGTTCTGCAAATCAATTTAGTTACCGTGGAATAAAAATTATGCATATTTTGTGATGGCTTAAAAAGCAAAGTGGCATGAATTGAAGTTCGACCTTTTCGTCCCATCGATTACTACACTTTTCAGGTCCAGCCCTAAGCAACAATTATGTATTTGCAAATTTCGAAACGACGTGAAGAAGGAAAAAGACTTAAATTAAATATTGAAGTCGGTGCAGAGACTATATTACATTCAAAATAGGTCTGAGAGGCAAACCGTACATGAGACAACGTTTTTGCCAAATTCGCTTAAAAAGACGGCAACGAAATATCAAAGAACCGTTGGTCTAACTGTACCAATCTGAAGGAAGATTATGTTGTTGGATAAAGACGCATTTTGCAACAAAAAAAAAAAAACGGTCCCGGTAATTATCGACCAATGTATTCCATACTCAAATTTATATAACATAGTGACGCCAGCACATCTCCGATTGTTATTATATAAAGTAAAATTTGAAAGAAGTAATATTTGGTTTTGACCGTATCTGTTTCCGATCTGTCATTCATTTGTTGCTTACGAATTTTTCTTTACAACACTTTACCGCAGAAACAACACGCCATGGAAACGTTCGCGTTTTGTTTTACAACTGGCGCCTTTATATATTTGGAGTACAAATGTTTAATAAATATCATATACCGTGCTTGCAAAGTGTAAGGACATACCCAAACACGCAATACACTCTCCCGCTACTCCCCCGCTGCAATGTATTCGATAATAAAACAAGCAAGGACATTTTAAGCGCGCAAGGCCGACCGTTAGAAACGCTGCACTTAACCTAGTACAATTATTTCCTCGTTTTGGTAATAACGGATTAAGAACAACACGCTACGCATATTTTTGATAAAAGCCCGCATTTTTGGAGGATCACATGACGCAGTCCAAATTTTGCAAATTTAATTTACTTCCTAAATATGCAAATAATTTTCAGTTTCCGTCAAAAAAAAAACAGAAATTAGAAATTAGACATTCTCTCTTTTGCCTTTAATCTTACTTTTATGATAATTGCTATATATATTAGAGTTTATAAATTAGATCCATGGAATCCAAATTCGCTTAAATAGTTTCATTATTTTTTTGCTAATTTGAATTTTTTTTTAAAAATTAAACCTTTTTCTGAAGGACTTACCATTAATGAGAAATCTTATGCGAAGCGGAGTGCAAGAAAAAGACCCACGTGGTGCAAATTTGGTCCGTTTAATTTCCATAAACAAATTTTCATCATAAAACATTAACAATTAGGTCGTCCTAGCATATAAGGGTTTATGTTTCCTGAGAATTCTTGGGAGCAGTAATATCTAAAAAATAGACTTACATGGTCCAAATTTGGCAAGGTTGATTTCTTTGCCAATTTACTGCTATGAATCACTTGTCACCGTGGAATATTGAAAATTAGAACTTCTTACTATACGAAGGTTCAGTTTCGTTTCACTCCGTATAAGATGTAGACAGAGATCTTGCGCAATTTTAAGGTTCTTAGCTGGCTTATACTAAATTTTATTTCAATTTTCTGCTGCACAATGTAGGTTATTGAGGGCAATATTTTGAATTTTAAGTTCTGAAAGATTTTTTTCTCAATAAAATTGGACGTGTTTTGTTGAAAACTTTTTAAGATTTGTCAGGAATCTTAACTTTATTTTCTTTTTTAATATAAACATTTACTCAGGGGATGCCACTGCGGCGGTCAGAAAGAACGAAGAACGTAGATCAGCAAGTGCCTTTACCGACTAATCACTCACTACAATTACCATAAAAATTAAACCCTACCGCAACTTACGATTTTTTTGCAATGCTTGATCTTTCTACATCAGTTTTTGTAAGGTCCAACAGCAGGCAACGCACATTTCTAAATAAATCACATTCTGGGAAAATTTATAGACTGTAAAGTGATTTGATTAAGATTAAAACATTTATATCAGTTGATATGTTGGTTTATCTCCCAGATTTACCGATCAGAGTAATTAATTCTCGCGCCCAATAGATCGATATCGTCTCTAACAAAAAAATTTCTATTATTTTCAGAAGCAGGACTTAGGTGCTTGCTTTTCAAAAAAGTCTTCAAATTTTTGATATGTATATGATATTTATAAACTTATTTAGAGGCAGACACGCCTATTTATTGAGTTTTGTTTGTTTTTTGTTTTGAGTTTTATTGAGTTTTGAATACATTATAAATAGAATGTATGAGTTTCTCGCTTCATCTTTCTATCTCAAATTTAACAAACGTAAATTCCAATTAAAGATGATAGGCGAAAATGTAGGTGGACAGCCTAGCAGTCCTTCCATATACCGGTAAACACATATTTTCCAACGACTGACTTCTTCTACTTCTCTAAACCCTTCATAAACAACTGCCATTACTTTTCAAATAATTTGTCGACTATTACCGACTATTGTGGAAAGCATGACAAAATTAATTGATTCTTCAGTGGCGAATATATTGCAGTAGGCATTGATTGGGTATATTGTTTAGTAATTTTTACGGTTGCGTCATTCCATGAATAAGCCAATATTGTGCAACCGGTCTGCCTGATAGACGGAAACTAAAATCCTTCTCTGTTTAATTGCTGATTTTGTCTTCACGATAATATTCAATTTATGTACTGGTTATGAATGAGCAAAAGAAATTTACTTAAGCTTATACGATATTACTTTTCTATTTATGTTGCTTCAAATGACTCATAAAACATATGATAAAATCGAAGTGATATTTAATTTAATAAACGAACTAGTTTTCAATTTCAATTGCACTAATACTGTGCGTTTATTAAAAGATTAATTTTTATCAGTTTAATCAAAGTGTTTATTTGTGTAATTAACTTAAAAAACATTTTATAGGACAATGTTTAGTGAAACATTGAAAAAACAGAAGTCCCATAAAAATCCCTTTCAAGGACTTGGAGCTTTAGTTAAATGCTCCAAAAGATTGTTCTTAGCCAACAATTGAATACGTTTCTCGATAAGACCCAATGGCCGGCGTGGCACTAAATGACAAGTGGACTGCCTGCATGTAAGAGAGAACCAACATTACACAAAAAGGAAAGAAAAGTAGAAGAATACAAATTAAAATGAAATTCTTCCTCTTAAACTTACTTGTAAATGATTCTCTCGCGGTCTGCCCAAGGCCAGCAACGTTCCAATTTATCTAACTATAATTACATGAAAGTAGAGAAGAAAAGAAAAGCAAACATCAGACTTAAATGACAGGCAAAGAGAAAACAAACAAGTAAAAAAATTATATTCGACTGCGACCGAATCCTTTATACTCATTACCGTTACCCGATAAAAGATTGAAAGAAGTAAGAATATAAATTTATATATTCCACAATATTGAATGGGCGTAGAATAATTTTGTAGAAATTTACATTGTGTATCTCTTGTAGCTTATGACCAATGGTCATCAGTTTTGGTTGTGTAGGCGCGGGGGCTTGGAAGGAGTGGTCTTTGACATGTATGCAGCCGGTATTTTTATTTTTGCAAACTAACGAATGGGTAGCCCAGATCCTACACTCAGAGCTTTTCAAAAAAAATTAAATTTTCATAAACTATAATATCGCGCAGACATTGTCAGTTTTGACCACTTTTGTGAATTTTTTGCAGTAGTTTATGAGCAATGAACAACAAATCAATTTTTTAGCCCTTTTGAAAAACAGAGGTGTTATCAGCTTACGTGCTAATGTAGGCGTGTCCTTCGACCTATTTGCGCAATTTTCAATACATACAAGAACTTGCAATGTTTCTATCAAATGCAAAGTCGATAACTTTTTTTTTAGGGTCATGAATATGTTTACAGTAGACACTGGGCGACGCACAGATAGACGTGTTTATATCAATTTTCAATTTTAACGCTGATCAAGAATATATATGCTTTATAGGTTCTCTGAAACTTTCTTCTGGGAGTTGCAAAGGTTTTGACAAAATAAATATACCCCCTATTCTTCGGTTTGGAATACAAAAATTAGTTAATGACAAGATATCCAATTTTCACAAAAGTACTGAGCCATAATAAAGGACGTCAAAGGAAAGAAAATGGTTAAAAGCAAAATAAACATACAGGTTTGATTATTTACCTTATGCTTTTGTTGTCCATCTTTACCGGTAACGCCAAACGCATTATCATAATTACTTGTCTTGTTTGCGTCACTGTCACCAATCGTCGTTGTCGTCGCGGTCATCGATGTAAAAACAGGAGATGTTCTCCGTTCGAGTTCTTTCTCTGTTAATTCGGATTTACGCAAATTACGCATATGCCAAGTAAAAGTAGTTGTAAGAAAATCATCTTCATCGCTCTCATCTCCATCATCATGGTGTCGATGGTATTCACGATGTTCAACATTTGCGTTAGAATTTGTGTTGAATTCTTCTTTTTCATTTTTAACATAATTTTCACATAAGTGAAAGTTATCTTCCTCCTCAGCGGAACTGTTATTATCTCTGATTATACTGTAAGTCAAACCATCACCATTTTCTGAAGCATAGTCCGATTCTGGGGTCGAATCTTTAGACTGCCGTAAATGGTGCTGAGAAATGCGTTGCTTCAATTCCAAGTACGCCTTATTGGCGTCATATTTCTCCACATTATCATCATTATTATCATCGTTATAGCTTAGCTCATAATCGTAAGCATCTTCATCGTAGGAAAATTTGCGTTTTTGTTGTTGCGTTGCATTTGTCAATTTATCGAAGGTCTGCGAAACAGTAGCCAAAGTTGATGATAAAATTTTTGGTATTTCGGCGATTTCGGAGAGTTTGCGTTGCATTTCCTTTAAACGTGCCTCAATCGAAGCCACTGAAAGTTGGTAGTGTAATGTAAGAGGTTTCATTTAAATTAAAAAAAAAAAAAACAACAACGAAATTACGTTCAATCAACTGTGAAATTAGTTTATTAACAGCATTAGTCTGAAGGACAATAAAAATAATAATAATGAAAAAATAGCTTCATATCTATTTTTATAAGAATTAGTTTTTTTTGTTTTTCTAATTTTTCTCAGATTTAGAAGCTGATGGTAAGGCAAGCAGCATATCTTCTATTATGCGAGATCTGACCTCTCCCTCTTTCACTTCGGTAAAAAAGCGCCTTATATTACGCATAATACGGTGATGTGGCAACTCCTTGACATAATCAATTCATAAAATTGTTCGTTAAAACCCGGGAATAAGTGCGTCGCGTTATTAAAAATTAAAAAAGCAAATTATTAAATGACGAGTAGAAAAGTCTTGCAAAATTTAAAAATTAAGGAAGAAAAAAAGAATGGAAAAACTAATAAAATATTAATATAAGCGAAAAAAATACCTCCTCTTCTTCATCAGAGGACTCATCTTCGCTGAGCTCTATGACAACTTCATTGCCTTCGGAATCGATTTCGATTTTAGTTTTCTTTTTCTTAGGCTTGGGGGGCTCAGCCGGTGGTACCCACATTATGGGATGCCAACAACGTGAGCCAAGTAACGGAGTGGGGCTAAAATCTATAAATAAAATTTGTTATGAAACTCGAGTTAATTTTGGAATTTGTGGTATTATTATTTATTTTTTTTTTTTTGTAAAGCGGCATCAAGCAAAACCAAAGACCGAGCTAATTGAAAAGGTGGCAAGCAGAAACATGCATAGATATATTTAAATAACATTTATTTTATAAACCTTTCGGTGGCGGTAGAGGTTTCGGTACTCGTAGCACAATAGACTTCTCTTCACCTTGCTCGAACCCATATTCTTGATCCTCTTCCATGCTAAAAATCAGTAGAGAAAAAATTGCCTTTACATCAAAGGAAATGAAATAAATTCTAAAAGTCGGTGGAAAATATTTATTATTGTATGTCGCACCAATTTTTCTCAATAAAAGCCTTCTTCAAGTGAAAAGTTATCAAGATTAGTGCAACCACCTAATAGCGTCATTATTGATAGACCTTTATGATTTCTGTATAGTCAAGCTAACGCTGATTGTGAACGAATTTTTTCTTATCCAAAAACCTTGTTTGAACAACACAAAATTCAGAATCTCCCATTCTTTTGAAAATTGCAAACGTAGCTTCACTGAGACAATTGTAACTTGTAAAGTAACCGTCAAAATGTCATGACGGTTTGAAGATTGGTACTATCCAAAATTCATAAGAGTCTGCCAACAGTTTTGCCGTATATCTGTCAGGCCGGAGACATATTGGGTGACGTGATATTAGTCGGTCTGTTTAGTGGACTTTCGGAAATCAGCAGATCCCAGAAACGAGCAAATAATTAGCAAAACCATGCTAGCTTGTTTACTCTTGACCCCCTGTCAAGACCAGTTTGGCAGAATCTCCTGTTACCAGCCTGAAAAAATTGGTTTCTATATATTGTCAACGCATTCAACTCTCCATTGAAAAATTATTACTAAGGCTTGCTAAAAAGAAGTTTTAAACGGAGAAAATAATATATAGAGAAATAATAAAAAACTATAGAGGCCCAGGGCTCACGATTAAATACCCCGCAGTACACTACGAATATTCACACAACGATTTTTATTAATAAGACTTTAGATGTGAAGTGGTCCCGTTCGAACCGTGCTTAATAGCGTTCGTCCCTGGGCAAAAAATTGCGGCCTTTAGCGTGAGCACAATAAAACAGGCGGAACAGATATATATTTATAGTAGTAGTAGTATTGTATATAAAAATATTGAAAAATATCGTGGACAGTAATTTACATTTCGCGAATCCCTGACGATAATATTCAGCACGTAAAAGAAAAAATTTTAGTTTACTTAAAGCAACAACTTTTCGTTCACGACCTTCCGCAACTCCGTATTAGTATTCCTTCGTAAATCAGATAAACTGCTACAAGCAAAAGTAAAAGAAACAGAAAAATGCGATCCAACCAAGCCGAATAGATATCTTTCATGAAAATACAACAGCACGTTCCTTCAGCTGTCCATGCAACTGTAGTCTCTCCCATCGATAAAATATGCAATGATACAAAATATAAGAAAAATCGAAGAAAAAGATAATTTGAATTTAACGGAAGAAAAGCAAAGAAAAATGTTAACGATATGATAGCGGCAGCCGTCCACTTTTTCACACTATTATTAGTTATTGAAATTCCAAATGTTACGAATTGCTCTAGAATATCAGCGAAACGTGATGTACTTGACCTGAACCGAAATAATTTCTTCTCCCCGGTTAACACCTGCCAAATTTATCTAAATAATTGGAAAACCATCAAGTTAACCTATTATTGCGCGATTATCAGTCATGAGCTTCACAAAAATGAGGGAAATAATTATACATAAACTAAAAACATTTGTGAATTCATCAAAAAGCCAATTTAGCTGAAGCTAAAATTGATACCTTGACAATAAACCAAGCCGGCGGAGAAAAAGTCCATGCCATTCTTTCCTTTAGCAAATTAAATGTGTACCATTTTTACCAAATTTTGCCATTCCTCTGTTAAAATCGCTGTGCCATTACTCAAGAGCTTTTGAGACTTTTGAGCGTATAACTAAATAATTTTCAGTTCGGTCTTACGTAGTAATAGTAGTAATTGCTAGCTATAAGGTCGATGTATTAAAACTTCACTCGCGAGTTGTTAAAAACGTGTCTACCGCTCTTTTATTGATCAAAACTTGGACGGTTCGCCTCACTTGAACTGGTTAACCGCATTACATGCTAACTTAGATTAAGGAAACATAAACTGGTATACAATGCCTAGCCAAATCGCAGCAGGTCGTGACACCCATCAAAAAGAAAGGCGCCAATCCGGTTTTGTCTCCGTTTGCTCAGCTTCATTCCTTTTGGACAGCAGCAGCAGATTCCATTATCTGTGACAATCTTTATTTAGCGTTTGCCTAGCGTCATGCCTCTTGCATTGCGATTTTTTTCCTACATTATTGTCGTCCGTTATCAATCCCTTATTACCTCTCTCGCTCTCCGTCAAGATTTTCAATTCATTCGGTACACAGAGTATTTACACCTTAACTTTGAATGCGCCCCAAATACAAACAGAAGTATTTAAGTGTTCTTTATTTTTAATTCTTAAAACTGTATGATTATTAAGAATAAAATTTAAGAAAATTTGCCTTTCATACTATGAAGTCACATGCTTTTTTCGAGCTGTTAAACCTTAAACCTATATTAAATTTTCTTAAGTTTTCAAATATTCTTCGAAACTTTTCTTAAACAACTGAAGGGATTCTTAAACTCACTTGTATAAAATAAAAAAATCGTAAAGTAAAGTCGTAAAGTTTCGTCAGGCCACAATCAAAGTTACAAAAAGCCATCTATGAATCACTTACGTCTTAACAAGAAAATGAATCTTTTTCCCGACTGCGTCTATCTTTTCGTGCGCCTGGGCCAATGTCAATTGTGTTGCGTCCTCCTCGTTTATTTCCAATATGATGTCGCCTAATCGTATGCCACCTTGATCGGCCAAACCACCGGTTGTTACCTGAATTATTGCAAAAATAAATATTTTAAATAATTTATCTTTTTTTTAATCCTTAAATCTTTCCAATGCTTCTCAGGCAAAATCACAATGAAAACTAGTCGTTCGTTTAGTTTAGTTTTTACATATAGAGGAAATTTTTGCCTAATTTTTGTTTATTTTTTTGAAAATTCATAACCAAAAACTTGAACAACATAACCTACTTGCAGAGATTTGTGTGTTTAGCTTTGCTTTGGCCGTATGTATAAATATTGTACATAATGAATTTATATTCGTTGGCATATTGTCTTAGGAACAGTTCATAGATGCATGTATATACAGAAGGTGTACCGACTACTAATGAAATATGTTTCAAAGAACTATATAATAAATATTCGCTAGAACTTTGCTTGTTTTAGGGAGAGTTTAACATACAAGAATGATGTTTTCTTTCCGTTTCATGAATTGTTTAATGCTAGTAAAACGCGAATGACTTTAACGCATTCAATATTAGTGTCTCCAGAGACCATCACAACCCAAGATTTTCTTCTTGTTTATATAAAGTCGCTATGTAAAGTCGCTACTTGATTCGATAAGCGACAACCACAAACCAATGTCAGTCTTCGTAGATTTTTGTTATATATAAGAACTTATAAATTTTTCCCAATACAGAACATGTCTCAATATGCCTTAGCAAATTATCGAAGAACGTTTGCCACATATATGTGACGTCGAACTGTGATGAGCAAACGCTTGTTCACATGTATGTGCGCACGCGGTGATTTGACGAAATCATTGATATCGTCCTCAGAACGTCATATTATTGAATAATGTAGCATTTTTTCTTTGGAGATGCCATAGTTGAAAACTGGACCGATTTCAAGCTAATTAAAACAAGCAAGAACATCATAGAACATCATAGAACATCATAGAACATCATCATAGTCATGCGCCATCAATCGATTCAAGCTTACTCCGCTTCCGCTAATACAATTCTCCACTTATTTTGGTGCTCAACTACCAAAACTTATAGCTTTTTCCCTAGAGGAAGCCCGTAGAGAGTAAGCGAGAACCCTCAACTGACGTCATCAGAATATGTCTTTTCTCACTCTTTACTTGTTGGCATCATAACGTACTAAAAATTAAGCAGGGTTAGGAGTACGGGTGGTAGGAGCATAGGTGGTTTTTAGCGGGTCAAAGTCTTGCACTGCCCAAATCGATGGTTTTTGATACTTTTCCATCTCAAAGAGAAAAGAAGACATCAGATAGACGTGCAGATAGACACGCAGTCAAACTTAAATCGATTGGAAAATTATTTTAAATTGATTGGTGTCATACAAAGTTGGTCCGTCTCATGCCCCTGAGAGTACTGCAAGCATCCATGCAAACAGAAGATATTTTTACTTTGAATGAATATGACAGGATTAGAGTTGTTTGTTTTTTTGGGAAAAACACGCATTTCGGGATCAAAAAATTGGATTGTAATGATTTTTGTCGAATTTGCTTCAAAAACACTTTGCACAACTAACAACGCTCGCTTACTTGGAGGCAAAGACATTTCTTGTTTTTGTTGCAGTTTTAAGATTATTGAATTACGGATCAGCACTGCATTATTAGTTGATATGCCTAACTACCTACACATATATACATATACATACAAATCCATTAACATTTAAATAATTTTTTTCATATCTGGGTTTTTAGGTCTAATATTCGCGAACTATTTGGCGTGTGCCACAAAATCGAATGCATTATAATATCGTATAATACTTTTTACTACGCAGAGAAATTTTTAAAAGTGCATATAGATAACTCTCATACAATGTAAACGGCGATGTGTTGTTTCTGCATTAATTAAAAGAACATTTTGTTCTGAAGCATTTCTAACAGTGAAAGCCAGTTCATTGCTTAAGGCATAATTGCGCCTGATTCTCAATAAAATTCATTTCGAAAACATGAAGTGACCCTCAATAGTTAAACAAAATTGTTAAAAAATTTAGTTGGCAGTGTGGTCAATATATGGGATGGATTTTAGAAGGAGGTTTATTTCAGTGGTTTGAAAAAAATCAACTAAAATCCAGATACAAGAAAAGGGAAAGTAAACCAATCAAAAGAATGCTATAGTATTCGCTAGAAAATACTACTATGAATTTATCTATAACTGAAGTATGAAATCAATCGGCTCAAAATTAAAGGGCTCTTGTTAGGATGAGAAAGTCAGAAAAGTGTCATTAAAATTTTAAGTAGGGACTTAATTCGAAAGATCACATCAAGAACGTGACTCACAGTAAAATATTTTGTAAATAGTTCTTATAAATAATTAATAAAACGATAAAAACGAAAAATGTGAAACGTTCCTAAAGATTTATTTTCACGTTCTTCAAAAAAATTTTCAAATCAAATCCTTTTTTGCTGAAAATGTGTTTTCCACGAATTTCGGGTCATGCTCGACATGTAGGGTTTATTTATTTATTTATTTATTTACTTATTTATTTATTTACTCTACTTATACTAGAAACTCAACTAAACAAATAACAATCGAGTTCAATTGGCTCTTAATGCAAAACTTATATTAATTAATAATAACATTTAGTATAAGTATAATAAAAAAAATAAGAAAAAAAAAAGAAAAAAAAGCATGTACACTATTAGCCTAGGGCCACACTTACAACCGGTACAGGAACAAATTGCAAATGAACCCCTAAGCCTTCGCAAACATGCATAAGCCTGGCAACCGATAATAAATTGACAGTAATTCACTTTCGAAGGATAAAAGCTAGTTTAAATACGACATAGGTAAATCGCGCGTATTAAGCAATGTTGCTTTAATGGACTTTAAAGAGTCCAATAACGAGAATAAGTGATAGACGTCATTTAGGTTCTTGCAAACAACTCTGAGCGGATTGAACAGCTCATAATTAAATTTACACTGACTAAGCTTAACCAAGATAAAGTGCCTAGAGAAGCGGTTAGGGACATTAAAGCTTATTTTACCAAGTAATGAAGGCGAGTCAATGGCACCATTTATTACTTTAATTAGAAAGGAAACGCCAAGAACAAATCTACGTTTCTCAAGAGACGGTAGGGACACCAGAAGCAACCTATTTTCATACGGAGGAAGAGAGGCAACCGGATCCCAACCCAAATTTCTAAGGGCAAACAGCAAGAATTGCTTTTGAACAGATTCAATTGAATCTACATAGCACCTATATGAAGGAGACCACACAACAGAGGCATACTCAAGTATAGGTCTAACCAAACACATGTAAAGCCTTTTCGTAATATAAGGATCATCAAGCTCTTTGGACCACCTCTTTATAAAACCAAGCGTGGACGTACCTTTGCTTAACATACGCAAATTGAAACGTAACCTATAATCAAATAGGTCGCCTAAATCTGTCAACGTATCTACGTCCTTCAACTTATGCGAACCAATACTGAGTAATGAACGACTTCCTTCTTGAGAAAGAAAGCTTCTTACATTTACTCAGATTTAGTTTCAGATGATTCACAGAGCACCATGCAACAAAATTATCCAAATCACCTTGAAGCTGATGTGATTGCGATTCAACAGAGATAGAAGAAACAGTTTCACATCATCAGCATACATTAAGATCTGGCTGTAATTAACCACCGATGGGAGATCGTTAATGTATAAACTAAATAAAATGGTACCTAAGTGACTTCCTTGAGGTACGCCAGACATAACGGGGAATTCGTCCGAGGTGATGAAGTTAAACAAAACCACGAAGGATCTATTGTGCAGATAAGAGCTTATCCATTTCACTAAGTAGAAAGGGTATCCAGAGGCTTGGAGTTTAAAGATAAGTAAGTTATGGTTAACCATATCAAATGCTTTGCTTAGATAAGTGTAAATAACATCTGTGCGAGAGCCACTAGAAAAAGCCTTGAAAACTTGACAGGTAAACTCTAACAAGTTGGTGACTGTAGATCGCCCTTTCCGAAAGCCGTGATGGTGCGCAGAAATATACGAATTAATGGCAAAGGCCAGATGCTGAGTCACAATACGCTCGAACAACTTGGGCAAGACACTCAACTTGGCTATGCCTCTGTAGTTCTCAACAAATTGTCTACTTCCACTCTTGTGGATAGGAATAAGGACACTACTCTTCCAACATGAAGGGAAAACACCTAAATACAAAGACATGTTAAAAATCTTTGAGATCACACCACATAACTCGACAGCGGAAGATTTAAGTACACCTGATGGAATTCCATCAACCCTTTAAAAACGTCATCTTCCGAAATAACCAAGTTAGGTATTGAAACCGAGTTTGTTATAGGATATGGGTAGTTTGCTGATAAATCGAAATTAGCAATCGAGAAGTTTCGTCGGAAATACTCAGCAAATAGATTTGAGATTTCAAAATCATCCGAGGAATCAGAGCCATTAAAAAAAACATGAGAGGGATATGTGGAAATTTTTCTTTTAGAGTTAACAAATTTAAAGAAGAATTTAGGATTAGCAAACGGACAGGATTTAATGAACTGAAGGTATCTGCAGTAATAATGATGGTTGAGGGAGTTAAATCTATGCCTCGCCTCCGAGTAAGCGACATAGTCGAGCGCAGAGCTACTTTTCGAATATTTTTTGAATAGCGAGTTTTTTCTATTCTTGTGATATTTAATTGTCATATTAAACCACGGGGGACACCTGCTTCGAGGCCGACACTGCTTGATCGGAACAGATGCAGCAATAGCTAGATTTAATGTATTGTAGAACGCACGTTTATCATGAAAAGCAAGCCCCTGTATGGAGAGTAAGTCCAATTTCTAGTTTCTTATGACGGAAGTTGAAAAATTATAAAATTATTAGGAACTAAATTAAGGTTGTTAAATTTGGATCATGCTTTGTGACGTTTTCGCATCCTTTAATACGCTTGCTTTCCTGGAAAGTAGTCATAAAAATACTGCGTACTTTTTGATGCATTATTACCACAACAAGCACTAGCGCATTCGGACTTTGAAAACGATATCAATACTAATTTGCATATTATCCAAGCGATTAGAATTCATTTGTAAGACATTTCCCGATAAAAATTTGCCACCAACTGAAAGTAAGCGTTTATGATTCTCAATAATTTGCCGTCCCTAACATTACAAATAGTATAGTATAGTGCATGTCTTCTAACGGTCGATTTTGATTTGCTTGTGTGTCACATTTATTTTAGAATTTTTTCGTATAAGTTTATCTGTTTCAATTGAAATTGGAATTGTACTGTCTCCCCATGGAAGTTTTCATTTATTGATTGCTGTAACTTGAACTCGTCATAGTTTAATAGAAAAAACCATTCGCGAGCAACTCAAAGATTATTTGTTATTTTTCTACGAGGAATTTATTTTACTATACTTTAAGCCTAAGAATAGATAGTCTGTTATTACAGACTCTGTGTAAGAATCAATATTTTTTATAGGATTTGTGTATTGATTGGACCAACGTTTCTATTAAAAAATCATTTTTCGAAAAGTCGCCAGTTAAAATTAAGTTTGCAAAATTTGAATTATGTGTGCTAGGCGCAGCGATTTCAAGTATCTATTTGGCTTTGCCTGACTATAAGGTCCTTGCTTGTTATACCGACCATTGGAACACGGGGGTGTACTTATTTTGTTTTTTTTTTATAAGCAAGCTTCATAGACCTTATAAAGTATATATATTCTTGATCAGCGTGAATTTCTGAATTGATTTAGCCGTGTCTGTCCGCCTAAGTCTGTTTGTGGTGGGCACTCTTCTGGTCGCAAAAATTAATATATCGACTTTAAATTTGGTAGAAACATTCGAGGTTTTTGCAAGCTGGTTGATATTGAAAATGGGCCAAATTGTCGGAGCAGAAGAACGCAGTAGAGCATAAACCGAACGCGTCTCCCTTTTTCTTAACAAAAATTTGTGGGCTTTTGCTCGTTATTCCGAAATTATTATAGTTAGAAGGCTCAAGTTTTCCTCATTCACTTTACGAAGCACTCTACGCGTTTTGTACACAAATGAAAAACATCGGCCATGCCTACACAAGGTTACTAGTGATTAAATTATCTTTTCCGCACATTTTAGGTTTTATATTTGTTTATCATAAGGCAAACAAGACTGTTTAAAACTACTTTGTACATTTCCCAAATGAAGATTTATCATCTATCTAAAAATGGTCTAATTCTAAAATAAATACAATAGAGACCTCGAGCTAGTGGATTAATTTTCTCTTAATAACACCAGCGATACGAGTATCAAATAAGAGAACTTGGAGAGTAAAAGGCGAAAAGCATAGTGGTGGTATGCGAGATACGTTTCCCGCCGCATATAACTTTCTTACTTCTTTTTATACGAAATTTAGAAATTCGCTACATTCTTCTCTAGATGCACTTCTCTCTCATATCTCCCGATATGCTATTTTCATTTGTTTCTTTCGAACTTATACCCGAAACACTACATTAATATAGTGGCAGTATTGGTCCTCATATCTTGCAATTTGTTTTCGCAAATGTATGTTGGCTGTGAGAATTGCGACGACTTTTTGCGCATGAAAAACAACAACGATAATGTTTACGATCGCACTAGCAACAATTTTAGCGGAATTACTGCACTGATGAGTCCCAATGAGTGTGTAGCCAATCATACAAGCCGTATTGAGGCATTGCAATTAATGTGCGATACTACATATCCTTTGGTAAGTACGTTTTAAAAAAATTTTAATTATTATATTTTGAAAGGCCAAGTCCAAAAGGCGAAGCATAAAAATTGATGTTGAGACCTGTAGTACCTGAATTCATATTCACTTTTCCGTTTTGTTCGGGATGGAGTAGCAAGTCTTTTGGTTTTATTATCCTGTGGTATTTTTAAACTGAAAGTCACATTAGATTCCTTATGCAAAATGGGCCATCTTTCAGATACGCGGTAAACCAAGTATGTAATATGTGGCAATTTTTCAAAGCGTACACACATGAAACCCAAACAATATAAGCTGTAAGGCCAGTTCTTCATTAGAGCGGCGTTCCTCCCCTCGGCACGGGTGCTTTTACTCATTTATTCTCATTTAACAGAATAGGTACGGTGCTTTTCACCATTTACTGAAAGTAACTCTGCTCTCTCTCTCTACCCACAATGCATGGTACTTTTTTTTTATAAACCAATCCAATGAGCCGCATAGTAATTGGAGCAGAGTTTCACATATCGCCCATGGCCCAATTGCGCTAAATTAATTAAAAATTCCAAAATGCAATTTAACTCCTCAAAAATTTTATTTTTATAATATTACGCATTTCGGCAATATTTGGCGGTTATATAAAATATTTGTCAATATTCACGTTCGATCACGGCTATGTAACTATGTAGTATTCCAGTTACGATTAGAAAGCAACACTTTCTTTAAAAAAAGAAGCCTTTGACAACGACTCCGCCAATGGCGAGTGATTTCACTAGTGATATCAATTAAGCGCTCCACACGTCAAAGAGGATTCTTAAAATTGATAGTTCTCGCTGATGTTATATGCAAAGAAATTTATCTCTATAGAATAGGTGGATAGGTTTTTGATCCTATTTAATTTCTTTGTTGATTATTGTTATTATTTGTTAAGTGTTAAGGGGATGTAGCTTCAATTTTTGAATATGAACTTTGGTTAGATCAATAACAGTTTAATAACGTAACGACTTACTGCATCAACTGCTGATTTCGTATGTGCTTGAGAAATATTTTATGGAAAAAATCTTAAGAAATATATTACTATTGTTTAGTTTGTAGTAATGTTAAAACCACTCACCTGAAATACGGTTAATGGCATATGAAACTCTGCACCGCCGGTAATGAGAAAACCCCACTTGGAATCATCTTTAATGGTATAAGCATCGGAATCTACATCAAATGCTGGAAAACCATCCGTATCACCGATACCACAAGAAAGTTTAATTATTGGTGGCTTTTTTGGCGGTTCGAGCCCGTAAGAATACAAAGTTGGTTCAGGCATTTTATACTACTCTGTATTGGTTTTGTTTTTCTGTTTTTTTTTTTTTCTGTTTAATTCAGTCTAAAAGAGATTACGCAAGCATTAGAGATAAAGGCAAGCAAATATTTGAAGAGAAAATGATATTCTCTTTACTATATAAAAGAGTTCTTTGCGAGTAGAAAACTGTTGCGAGAATTTTTTATGATTATTTTTTGAACGTCAATTTGTCTTTTTTAGTTATTTTTAAATGCACATAACGCACGTAACACAGAAAAAAGGGAAGAGAAAAATTAATTTCTCGACTTTTTTAATTATAAATCTTAAATTTTTTATGAACACGTTTTGTCAACTTTGCCGGTATTTACTTTTTTTTTTATCCACGTTGTCTCATAAATTATTCGCATTATGGTGTATAAACTTTTGCATATATAATGCTTGACATTGCTTTCTATTACATAACCACTTGTAAAATCATAGAAATTCTATAAATTTTTTCAGTCATAAAATTTTTTTATAATTTAATTATCATTTGCTGAAGTAATGTAACAAATTTGTACGCTCTTGTCGCACGTTTGTTGCCGCTGGAGGTTGGGTTTCCTTTTGTTGGTTGTGTGATCCTTTTACGATTATCAATAGGTTTTTAAACCAAAGGTCGTCAGCCGTCTATCTTTATTTTCACAATTGCGCAACTGTTCTTTTCTTCTTTTTTTTATGCTTTAACGGAGACCCTTACAATTTCGAGTTCACAGTCGATTGCAAATTTACAACTGATTTGCTTCAGAGTTTTCTTCTAAGGGGCTTTCCAATCATTTGAAAATTGTGTTCTTTCTTCTTTTCAAATATTTTTTTTTTTGTCTCTATGCTCCTAACGACGATAGTGAGATAGTTTTTTAGTTAAGTTCAGTTTTTTATCTAGCCTCTCTAGCAACATTATTTTGTTTTTTTCATTTAATTTTGCATTCACTATAAGAGGCGAAGGTAGTTCCGTTATGAGAATGGCGTGTAAATGAATGGCGATGTTGCTGCTTTACAGATCACACATAAATAAGCTGGAATATTTGTTTAATAATGTTGCTTTGTGAATTTGTCTCAAAATTGCTTTGCAATGTTATCACAAAGAACAGCATTATTTTGGGAACAACGTAAAATCGTTAAATTCCACTCATCTTCAGCAGGCTCTGTAAGTCATAAGTTCTGTATTCTATTGGCAAGGGGACTCTCTGTGGAATGTACATAACAATGGAAAGTTCTTCACAAAATATTCAAGTGTTTAATTGTTCACATATTCAGAAAATTTTAACGTTCGTTCTGGCTATTGATAAATCAGCATTAGATTGAAGTGCTAATTAAAAACGACTGATGTCTCAATACAACTTCAAAAGAAAGAAACGCACTCTGCATAGTGCACTTTGCTTTTCTCTTCTTGCACTTTCTATTCTATTTCTTGCAAATACTCCACTTTAGAAGTACCTCTACGCTCTATTTTCGCTGTCTGTGACAATAAAATGCAAAATTACATCAGGAAGTTCAAGCCAATATTATCAAGCTAAATTTTAGTCTAAGCAATAATTTTGTACCACTTTTAATTTAATTGAGATCCACGTTATTGGATTGATATTTATTTATTTATTTTCTTTTTTTGGTATGTTGAACAGAGATGGACTAAGCCAATAGATTTGTGGCTTATATGTCCAAATAATAAATTGTTGTAATTTTTAGTCACGGTTATGTATAAAACGTAACAAAAAAAAAAGAAGAGCGGCCGTAATAACTGGAGTGAGCATGTTAAATGTAATTGTGTGTGTGTGTGTGTGAGTGTGCTTATTGAGTTCTTGAAAGTACCGGATTGATATTTATATCTGTTAAATCGAGCTAATTTCACTTGATAATTGAAAGGTATTGTTTTTACACATTCTACAGCTGTTTTCCTTTCGAATTCAACTCTCTATGCTTGAAATTTTTTTTGAATTATTCTCAGATGTTTTAAATTTATAATCGTTTTTTCAATGCAACAGCTGTTAGCAAATTCAGACTGACTCTTTGAATTATTCTCAATTTCAAACATATACAGACTGACTTTTACAATTATTCTCAGTTTCAAATATATACAGACTCAATCATTATCAATTGTAAACAAATTTAGACGCTTACTCTCAGATGTTTGAAATTTTTTCGAATTACGCCTTTTGAATTACACGATTGCTCGAGTATGACGAAAACAAGAACTAAATCCAACAAAAATTTAAAAGTTATTCGCACGAACTTTGAATTCTCAATAAATGAGAGCCGTTGACTCATATTGACTACGTCTCTGCTCTTTATACACAATATCCGTCGCTAATTCCGATTCAAGTATTTAGTGAATTGTAAATGTGTTTCATAAATGGCGGAAAGTTGATCGAACTTGATTTTTTAAGAGGAAGCAAAAATTCTAAATGCGCTTTAGCCCTACTTTGATACCCTTAAGTCAATTGCGAAAATGTATTAATGATTTTAAATTAGTTGCTGGGTATGTCAGTTTCATCTTCGGTTTCTCAATAGCTATTTTGAGATAAATCGGATTTGTTTGTGTTTTATGTGTGCATTACATGAATAATAAAACGCACTTGTGTGCGTCCATGTTCTCTTCAATCAACCCAATTGGAAACTAAGGCATAAAATAAGAAGTTTGGAGTCACATAACAATTTAGGAATTTGAGTAAAAGTTAGCATTGCGGAGAAATCATAAATCTTAGCGTCTTTTGTTCAATCTTTTCTTGCACTTTACTGCATTTTAAATAATATTAAATTTATCAAAGAAACGATTAATGTTTCTAACGATGCAGCTTTGTGAAACAGTAGCTTTGGCGCCATTAAATTCATTGAAAGAATCCCTCTAGTTGCAAGCATCCATATTTCAATATATACGGTTGTTAATATCGAGCGAAATTCAAGAGAGAGTATAACTTTAAAAATTTATTATTGAATAATACGCTAAAGAACTGTCTTTGGGAATTATATCGTAGTATATTGGGTTCCTCCGAAACATAACCGATATTTTTTTCTTACTGGGAACAATTTACAATTTCTTATCTAATTCAAAGAAAAGTGTTTCTGAAAGACCTAAGAGTCCTGATAGCGATTTGTTGTCGCTAATGAAAAATGAAAGCCTTGCGGCAACCTGTTGAGTAAAAAAAGCGGGGGGCGAAAACCCGGCTAAAAGGCGATGCCAAGACGTGATGGCAGATCCGAACATTTTTGGTTACAAACTAGTACTCTATATTTGAAAGGATCCGAAGGTCATGAAGCTTATAAACTTTTGGAATGTAATAGAACACTATTTAGACAAATTAACAGCAACAACTGCTGCAATTGAATCAATCATTAAAATCCATAAAAATTTACTTTGACAACGCTCGATCATTAATTGCCAACTAAATAGCGTAGATGGCAGGCTGGGATGTGCCCACCCAATCACCACATTCATTAAACATTACTAGTACTAGCGATTACCATTCGTCCCAATTGATGAGTTATCGTACTATTGCCAGAATGTTGTGGGAAGCTCCTTAAACGCTGGATTTTGCCTTCTTTTCTTTTTTACCTTCTTCAGCTATAGCTGTTGATAACATACGACGACCTATTTAAAGACACAAACTTATTCGCGATCTTCAAGTGGAAGAAAATGACACAGTATAAGGGTATTTTGCAGAAAAATCTCATATCTTCTCTTATTCGAGTACAGCAATTGCAAAATTTACTCCAGGCCTGGTAATACCCTAACTGCTTTCAATGCCATTAAATGCCCTAGTGTTTTGAAGTTTCTTATAAGAAAACGGCTAAATACTTTTTAGATTAGCTGATGTTTCAAAATTCATAAAAAAGCACGAAAGCAACATAGCATAATAGAAAACGAACAGTACACACGCGTATATTTTGGTATATCTTTCTAATTGAATAAATTGAAGAGAAATCATTTAACTTAATTTAAAAATAAGCGCAAGCTTTTTAGATTGCCATGTAGTCAGTGGACAAGTGTCGTTTGTTTCTGTTAATCTTGTTGTTGTTGAACATCCGAATACTTTATAGACACATGAATAGACGCTTCTATCATGGATCTTTCTATACAACTTCCTCATTATTTCAGTGTACTCGTTTGAGAACAGAAATTTATTTGAAAAGTTTTCAGATATTTTAAATGTTTTCTTATTTGAATGTGCATGTGTGACAGTATCATGAGCAAAACTAAATTTATTTTCCATTTTTCTATAAGAAAAAACACAAAAACAAAACACTGCGCAATTTGTAAGAAAGAAGAAGAATAAATATTATTTAAATATTTTCAAAAATTCCTACTGCCTGTCATACAATTCTTATCACTTGAGAATTGATCAATGTCGATCGGGAAAGATTACAACGCCACAATTCGCAAGAATTGATCTTTGCTATTATCGACAGATAACCCTTTGAATTGAAGCATTAATATTTTATTATATAGTGATCTTGCATACTGAAAAAACAATAAGTTTACTTATAGGGCATATCTTCCTTATATTAAGATCAATATGCAATCAATGTCTACGCATATCCAAAATTAGTTTGCTACTGTTTTTCTCATCGATTTTTCCTTTTCCCTTCACATAACAGCAGACGTAAAATTATTTTTTGTCAGCTTTGTTTTCGCTATCATCATTGTATGTGGTTTCGTTAGCCTCGCTGAAATTTTGGTCATATCCTTCACAGCCTTGTACATAATCATCTGCAAAGTTATCCGGCGTAGCAGAATTGCCGCTAATATAAGTGTTCGACAGGTCACCTGATTTCGTCTCGGTTGATAAATTTTCGCTCCTGTTATTTTTCTGTTGAGAAACTTTTAATTTGTAAGCGTCAAAATCTGCTATAAGAAGTTCATGTAAGTTCCGCTTTTGCTCCTTCGAAAGGATCTCGATGGATAAAACGTCATTCGAACTAAGCCGTTTGGGCAATGCTTCAGGCGAGGCTCTGTTTTCCACCTTACTTACGGCAACTTTTGGATCTTCTGAAGAATTTTCTCCAGACGGTTTATGTGTTGATCTACGCTTTCTTGATTCCCACACAAACTCACCTCCACACGAATCGTCGTCTAAAGAATCATCACACGATCTACGCTTTCTTGAATTTCCTTTTGGTTCCAGCTTAACTTCGTCTGGCTTATCGTCAACTTTAAGTACAACTTTCGTTTCTTCGGCCGAATCCTCTTCGGAAGATTTGTCACACGATCTACGCTTTCTTGAATTTTCTTTTGGTTCCAGTTTAACTTCATCTAGCTTATCATCAACTTTAACTACGACTTTTATTTCTTCGGACGAATCCTCTTCAGAAGACTTGTCGGGCGATCTACGCTTTCTTAAATTTTCTTTTGGTTCCAATTTAACCTCGTCTGGCTTATCATCAATTTTAACTACGCTTTTCCTTTCTTCTGTTGACCCCTCGTCGGAAGACTTGAGGGTTGATCTCCGCTTCCTTGAATTTTCTTTCGGTTCCAATTTAACTTCGTCTGGCTTATCATCAACTTTAACTACTCCTTTCGTTTCTTCGAATGAATCCTCTTCAGAGGATTTGTCACACGATCTACGTTTTCTTAAATTTTCTTTTGGTTCCAATTTAACCTCGTCTGGCTTATCATCAATTTTAACTACGCTTTTCCTTTCTTCTGTTGACCCCTCTTCGGACGACTTGAGAGTTGATCTTCGCTTCCTTGAATTTTCTTTCGGTTCCAATATAACTTCATCTGGCTTATCATCTACTTTAACTACTACTTTCTTTTCTTCGGACGAATCCTCTTCAGAAGACTTGTCACATGATCTACGCTTTCTTAAATTTTCTTTTGGTTCCAATTTAACTTCATCTGGCTTATCATCAATTTTAACTACGACTTTCATTTCTTCGGATGAATTTTCTTCGGAAGATTTATCGTTCGATCTACGTCTTCTCGCTTTTTCTTGCTGCAAATTTATTTTTTCATCTGATTTATCGGCGCTTTCAGGACTAACAATCTTAGCGTGACATCCGCAGGTTGACTTTTTATCAGGTGAATCATTTATCGATCTACCAGGTCGTCTTTTTGTACGCTCAAATCTGTCCCCTTGTGGAAGCGTTTGATATTCACGTTTGTGACGGGGTTTTTTCAACTTATATTCCATATATAAATCGTGTTTTTGGGAGCCTTCATTAGAGACCTGATTGCAACCACATCGTTCTACATCGGGTATGTCACGTTTCAGATTATGCCTATTTGTTGAAATATTTCCCTCTTCGCTTAATTGCTTAATTGATGAGTTAATTTGTTCAAGGAACAACTTAACCAAGAATGTGTTTAAGCCATCGCCTTGTTCATTGGAGATTTTGTTCAATAAATGCCAGTTAATGGACTCTTCAGAAGTGTTTATACCTTCATCAGTCCATTGACTTTTGTCGATATCCTCCATCAATATATGATTTGATCTTGTTACATACGGATGCAATTTATTATCATTCAAACGTACAACAACGGCTCCAAAATTTAGACCGAATAAAGCCACCAATATAAATATTATTAGAAATTTTTTCATCTTTTTTTTTTAATTTAATTACGAATTTGTTTTACTTTAAATTTGCGGCTATTTCGCATGGTTTTCATAACTGAACTGAATCCACAAAATTCCATCAAAGTTTTATGAATCAAGTTTTTGTTCATTTGTACTCAATAAGTGAGTGAGGTGTCAAGCCTATCGCTTGTTATCACTTCATGTTTCGCAATATTCTCATGAGCATACAGAAATGCATTTAGCGAATATGATTGATTTTGCCTCAATTGCTATTTATTGTTAGCATCTTTGCAAACGAAATAATAATTCCCTGTCTGTTAACTAAAGTGTTCTTTATAAAATTTGAGCACCCTACGACCACTCCCCTTTAGTGCAAAGAGAATATTTATTTATTTATTTTATGTACCCATGAAACTAGTTGCAACTTAACCGCTAAGCCCTTGCAAACATGCAAAAGCAAGAAGATGAAAAAAGAGCACACGTGATTAATAAGAAGGTGACCGACGATTTAAATTTTGCCATTGTAGGGGGTCCGATACACCATCTTATAACTAGTGGAATTATATAAAATAAATAAAATAAATAACACAAATAATTAGACACTAAAACTTATGGACTAAAAGTATAATAATGGTAAGCAAGAAAATTCTGTTGAAGGTGATGATATCAATAACGAAATCGAATCAAAAAAGAAAATCGCATTCAAAAAGCTAATTCGGTAAAAAATTTCTTATGTTTTCCTAAAGTGCAAAATTACATCCGGGCATTCAAACTTTTTAATATTTATTTCAAATTTCTATAGATTGAATCAAAATGGTCACCACACGTTCAAAATAGCACAATGGAGAAAGTGCCGAATCGCGTTATCCATCATATTATAATAATAGTTCACGTTTTTTGCCATTTTTTTGCGACATAAAACGTAACGCCTCTGAAAGCGTAGAAAAAGCCAATTCATCAGAGTCGATTAGTGACTTTTTCAAGAATACAACGAATACAAAATAAATCTGATCTGCAATGTTTATTCGCCTCTGGTCCCAATCAAATGTTAAATTATCGCAAATCCCTTCGGTGCAACATTTGGAGGCTGGAAGGCGTCAAAACTGTACATACTACTCCTAACAAGAGGAACGGTATTAATAACGATGCGAAGTACGAGATACGGAAAATATTCGAAAATTTGTTAGCCACTAAGTACCTAAGTACCTAAATAAAGACGACACTCAGGGAATATAAAAGCAAACTTCTGTTTGCAATGGCGAAAATCTCGCAATTGTTTAGACAATCTTATCAACAAAAACCAAGCATTATGCAGTCATCAACGACGATTCATCATACATACAGCAAACACAACTTTTTTTACAGCACCAGCAGCAAGCTGCCCTATGCTTATCGAGGATCAACAATGCAGTAAATCCTTAATTGAGGCTTTAAGTGAAAGATGTTCAACAGAAAGACCTTCAGCAGAAACAAAAAGTGTGAATGAAAAAGTGTTTTTATTTCACGCCGATGGTTACAAAATTATTCCTTACAATCACTACAGCTCTTTTTACAACAGAGCAGGTTGTAACTATGCTCCAATGCAAGAAAAGAAAACTGCATGTAAAAATTTCGAAGTTTATGATATCTCCTAAAACCAAATCGTTACTCTCTCAAATATGGCGCAATTCAGGTATAATAACTCTGCAATTTCCTTGAATGGCCTTATATATTCTCTAGGTGGATGCGATTCAAAAGGTACAGAATTGACTACCGCAGAGATGGCAAGTTGATGATTAGTCCATGGCTGCCAATCAGTCAAATATCGCACGAAAAACCTTTAATGTGGATACCCAGATGAGGATACAGGCAGGCAGACATGAAACAGGCAAAGGAGTTATCAATTTACTGATCAATTCAATTCTTTAAGTCTGGACGAATTCCTTTGCGATATTAATAAAAACAAATGTTCGTAAAGATAATTAAAAATTTTTTCCTTTTTTGATATATATAGAAAACGAATGAACTAGGGCAACGAAATACGTCTTGTATACGTATATACGTCCGGATTGATAGCAATTTTAAATTTCAACGCAAAATAATGAGTGAACAGGAGAACTTCTATAAGTGTAAAACAAGATTTTTTGTCAACTAATGCTTTGGTTTTTTTTTTTTTTTTTTTGATTTCTTTAAGTAGGAAAAGACTGATAAACCTTTAAAGAAGGTCTATGAGAACGAATGGACGACATGCAGAAGCAATTGATTTCAATTATTACAGATTTGAACTAGAACTCGTGGGCGTTTTTGCAATTTTAGTATAGCTGTATAAAACAGGAAAGCTATGATCGCAAATTGCAAAGGTGCTGTTTTAGATGCATCGTAGTACTATAATATGCGTTTTTAATTTAAAGCTTTGAGTCTTAAATGTTTCGTTAAGAAGATACAAGGTTAAGAGCGAATCACCGAAATTGGGTAAAAGATTCGCACTCGATCATCAATATGTGTATAGCAAATTCATAGCACACTAAAAAAGTGTGTTTTATGCTCTCTAAAATCAACTACAAAATATTGCCAAGCGATGGATTTGAAAAAAATGTATGATAAACGAAATGTATGATATAAGCGATCGATTTGCAAGTGAGCATCACAAACAAGCCAGCTATAGGTTTTAAAAATTAGTTAAAGCAAGTTAAACGTTTCTTAATCAGCTTCAGGTTTGTTAAAGGATAAGGCTAACGGAAGACGGCTGAGAAGGGCATCAATTACGTAAACGTAGTACGTAGAATAACCACTTTGTGTACAGCCTTTCGACGAGAACTACTTAAACTTAATGTTAGACAAAATTACGAGACGCCCATAATAGTATTACGATAAACTTGCTTTTATTAATGTTCATGGTAATCTCAAATGCTTGAAAAATAAATTAATTTCTAAATGGAAGGCCCATGGGGCTTTGTCAATCTTTTTATTTCATTGCATTTTTCTAAAAGAGGTGTTAACAAGGGATAGCTAATATTGCGTAAATCAATTGGCTGCTGGGAACTGGACATTTTTGAGAGAGAGTTAATGAGTCATATTCGCCTACCTTGTGTTAGTAATGAGTTTTTGACAAATCACGTTGTAGCTGAACCTATGCCCTCTTCACTACATTGCAACTGAAAGAAATTTTGAGTCGTCCAGAAGCTCAAATGCTGCTGATCGGTTTATCAAAACGTAAGCTAGGTGTGAAAATAATGCGTCGATAAATAAGCAAATAAATGTTTTTAATTTAGGTGAAATTTCTAAATATGACTTATTAGTACAACTAGTCAATCCCAACCAACGCGATTGTGAAGCCATTAATGCGCTACTTACGTATACATTTGGTCAACAGCAACAAATTCAGCAAACCTCCGAAATGCAAATCGATGTGATTTCGAATATTATATTAATAAATCAATTATACTATTTATTTTCTTTCTTCTATTTTATTTAGATAAAAAAACAATTAAGTGCAATTCCATATAGTAAAACAAATAATAACGCAAGACAGGAAGAAAAATTGCTTTATACGTGTAGGCTTGTCCAACAGGACGACCGAGGCGGAGAACACAGTCCCCCCGAAGGCCGTAGACGTCGTCGAGGCAGACGAGGCGGGCGTAGAAACCAACACAGTCCCGAAGGCCCCAGAGGAGGCAGATGCGGCGGGCGTAGAAATTAACACAACCCCGAAGGCCCTAGAGGAGGCAGACGTGGCGGGCGTAGAAACCAACACCGAAGGCACTAGAAGAGGCAGACATTATCAACAAGATATATTGTTGATTTGTTAAATGGTTTTCTACGGTAGTTGAGATAAACAAATAAATATTTTCAATAAAATTCAAGGTGTTATCATTAAAATTATTATCTAAATGATTTACATATCGAGTGCGATTCTCTTTCGAAATTTCAGAAAGCAAACTATCTGATCAGGTCGTCGATCCTAAATAAATAAATTTCGAAACTCAACGCTCGAACGAATCTAAGAACCCCAAAATGTCTTTTTTGTTGTTTCCAAATTACTTTCGGAAACAGAAGGAAGGAGTATTGTTTAAATAAATTTTCATCCTCTGGATAAGTTGGCTCCTTTTGTAATTTCCATCACGTTCGATATTGCTAATGGGGGAAAGAAACTGTCTCTTTCGGATGAAGGTTTTTTTGATGCAAGTAAGCGTTTTTAGTGTTATTTGTTTGGTGTTAGTTTTTAGCGAGACATTCAGAAGAAAATGTTTTTCTTTCTTGTTTTGAAGTTTTTTCCTTTCTAGCCAATTTTTTTCTTTTTTTTATATGTTTCTAATTAGAAAGGGAAAATATATAAGCTGGTTAAATTTCGACCAAGGTCCACGAAAATTGTGTATATATTGTCTTAAACATGTATCCATACGTAACTAACTATGTTGGATTAACAATGCTTTTAGCATTAATTAGCTTTTCTAGGGATGGCAATAAAATAAGCGTGGTTAAAAATGAAAAACGTCTAGGACTTAGTTTAGAACGTGCAAAGACGCGCAAATGAAGATGAATTTCACATTATCATCGGAAGTTAAATATATATTGCACTTATATAAGTTGATAGACATATAATGTATATAATGAATGTGTAGGTTTCTTCTTCTATTTCGAATTCGTACACCACCCATTGATTTGTATACATTCTGCAGGAGAAGGAGAACGGAATACTGTTTTATTACGGAGACTACGCTTCTGTTCCCACGCTTGATATTCTTTGATAAAATTATAAAGATATGACCGTATTGAAAAGTATCCGAGGGTTTTGCCTGGATTTCGAGCTTCTTTTTGCAGTCTGCTCTTTTCACTTTCTGCTTTTGCTCTCTCAAACTGTCATGTGGTTAGCGTTTACCGCGCTATTTTCTGACAGCTTACTTGCCCGCCTGCGATTGGCGTTTTCACCTTTGTTATTGCAAAAAAGCATTACATAGCGAATTTCTTCAGATGTTTCACTCTGTCGGCGAATTTTTAATGTAACCTACTATAAATTTTATATATATATATATATATATGTATATATAATAAATAATATAATACATATATTTAAAATTTGCAAAGTTATAAGATTTT